GTTTTTAGCTATGAAATACGTGAAGGAAGTGTTGTGCGTATGTGAGTTGTGTATCGTTGTAAATCACGTGCCAGCTACTTATAGGAAGGATTAGGAGCTGTGTTAATGAAGGTTTAATGGACATGAACGTTGGCAATCAATGTCTAGCACGCTGGCATTGATTCTCGTCCATAAAACCGTCCGTTTAATTGCAATAAGTCACAAGAACGTTGGGCATTTAATAGTTGTAACTATTACCAGCAGCAGCCTGCTGCGGACATTCAACATTCATGGAGCAGCAGCCTGCTGCGTCTTTTGAAGATAGAATTTTTAGACGACATTCGTGTCCGCAGGTCGCTCGCGCACGCAAGTCGCGCCTTTTGTTCTCCGATTTCGGGATTTGATTCGCACCCCCCTGCGAGCGTGGAGAGAGCCTTTACCCTAAGGAATCTTAACTCCTTAAGGGGGGTTTCCCTTTATAAAGGGTTTAAATTCCCTTGGGTTTTCTGGTGTGGGAAAAAAAATCACACTAGAAACCCACATTTTCCTAATTTTCTCCATTCCAACGAGTGAACTTCGAGAATCAATTTCTCATTCACCCGTTATCCGTTTTGAGTGTATCAGTACCATATATCGAATTGTAGCCCTAAGCAAGGACAATCCGAAACTACTTTGATCCGACCCAAATCGGAAGTGGACCCCACTCAAAAAATTGCCCCAAAATGACCATTTAATGCAATTTACTAACACATTTTCCAACAGTTTTTGTGTTCTCACTCAGCTTGAGCAGATTTAACATCTCATTTTTAATTTTATCAGAAATGGCCGGACAAGGTCTAACGTTTCTCCTTGTGCCAGCAAGGTGATTTTTTAATCTACTAACTCTTCCAGTAGTTTTTTGGCCACAATACCTGCATTTAACGTACTTGTACGTTTTTCCCCCTAACCCCGGTTTCTTTATTACATCTCCATGTTCCCATGCTGGGTCTCTTCCCGTAGACATGATAATAACAATGTGTATACCGGTGGGCGTAGCTCAACCGGTAGCGAGGGAGTGCCACAAGGGTTAGGTCCCGGGTTCGAATCCCGTCAACTGCGATGAGAGGTTACTACTAACTTATTATGCTAAAAATGCATAGAGCCTCTGCAAGTACCGGGGATGGAGCCTCATTCTCTATCTGTCAGATTGTGATTATAGTCCAATTTACATCCTCCCATCGTGCCGTCCGGTCAGTGTTGGGGGGCCCTCAAGGATGGGGTGTCGTCCTTTTTTTTATAATAACAATGTGTATAACTAACAAACAATATAATAAAATAATATATTAATAATATTTTGCATCCATTCATCCGCTATGTATTATACATTCCAAAAAATCCACCAAGGTGTCAAAAAATTTCACTACGTATTATATGTTCCACTTATGTATTAAAATAACAAAGAAGAATCAATAATGTTACTCCTAATAAAAATTCCACTATGTGTTAAAATAACAATGATGAATCAATAATATTCCTCCTAATTAAAATAACAAAGAAGAATCAATATTAATACTCCTAATAAAAATTCCACTACGTAGTATATGGTCCACCTTGTATATAAATACGGAGTAACAATTCCCGCAAAAAAAATACGGAGTAACAAAGAAGAATCAATATTACTCCTAATTAAAATAACAAAGTAGAATCAATAATAATACTCCACTACATAATAGATGTTCCACTATGTATTAAAATAACAAAGAAGCAATAATATTACTCCTAATAATAATATTAAAAATTCCACTACGTATGATGTGTTCCACTATGTATTAAAACAACAAAGATAATTCCACTAACTACAAAGAAACTAATAAAATATTACTCCTGCTCTAAATTATCCGTAGTGCTTTTTCCTGCCCATCCAGCACATCTCGTTCTTTAATTCTTGCAACATTGTGATTTTTGCATTATTCACAAACCCTCCTTTGATCACGATTTTCTACTAATAATCAAATTACTTTGACCACGATTTTCTACATAATCAAATTATTACGTATAAAATGTTTTTGAATTCCTATCAATGTGAATTACCAAAATATCGACTTTTTATAATTTTTACTAATACATACATACTTATATATAATAACAGTCAAAGTTGTGCGTTGGCAAACGTAAAAGTCAAACTGTTGCAAGAATTAAAAAACGGAGGATTGTATAAAATAGGAAACCCATAGTCCCATACATGTCGATAAGGATGAAAGCAGAGAAAAAAAGTTGCAGAAGGTTTCTTCTATGCGCAGGCCGCATAGAAGAAATAGTGGAAGTAGGAAATACGAACTACGAAGGTTGCAGAGACTCCTAGGCAAACTTATATACTACGTGTCTATGCCTCTAAGTTACCTTTTTTTAATTGGGCTGCAGCAGAGGGCCCTATTTCCCTAATCGCGCCTCAACACCCGTTTTAAGGCTAACGCAATAAGCGTACGCCTTTTCCAAAAATGCGCAGTATTCCATATTGCCTAATTACGTCTAGGCCTTGTGTCTTAGGATGTTTAAAAATGACAAGGCTAGCCTTATTGCGTAGAGGCGGAACACAATTTTAGACGATGAGGAGAAGGGGGAGGAGAAGGGGAAGGAGATGTTAGGAATTTAATTCACACACTCGAAAAATAATAATGAAGAACACACGAAATTTGGTAACCCAGTTCGCCACGAATGACTACGTCTGGGGGCGCGACCAAGCCAGGAATATTATTGCTATTTTCGGATTCAAGAGATTACAATGGGAGAGAGCTTGTATTTATAGAGAGTAAAACCACCCCTAATTCAACTAGGAGGCTCGGCCGAAAAAAAAAACTGTACGGCCCAACTGCACGGAATCCGTACGGCCCACTTATACGGAATTGTACGTAAAACTTGTTCGTCAAAAACGGACCAAAAAATTCGGCTAGAGAATGGTTATACAGTCTCTAACACCTTACAGGAGAAGGCAGAAAAAGAGTAGGAGCAGGATGAGGAGCAGCTGAAGGAGGAGGAACGGGAGAAGGAAGAGAAGGAGAAGAGGAAGAGGAAGAGGAAGAGGAAGAGGAAGAGGAAGAGGAAGAGGAAGAAGAAGAAGAAGAAGAAGAAGAAGAAGGCTTTATGCGCTGAGAGTTTGAGATGGTTGTAAACCGGAAGGGGGGATTTTGAGGTGAGATGGTTGCAGAGGCTTTGTGCTTTGTGATTTGGAGGAGTTTTGAGGATATTTCTATGAAGGAGAGAATTTTAAAATGGTCATATTTTTTTCCATTTAAAGCTTAGAGGTAATATTTTTGTCACTCTCTAAACAGGGCATATTCATATTTTGACCATTAATGTAAGAGTATAGATTGTTGATAAGTACAATAATTACTTATGTTTTACATAGATAATTATATTTATCTGTACAAAAATATGAAGCAAAAACAGGTAAATATTCTCGAGTGAGCGAAAATGTAAAATACCTCTTGAAGCGACAAAAAGAGGGTCAAAAGTCAAAAGGGGTCGAAAACCGGCTTTTCTGGATCAATTTCAGACACCAAAAGAAGAAAAACGAAGTAAATATTTGAGTGCAGCAACCGGCGCCAGTCAGGCTAGAACCAGTGCCGGTCGGAATGATTTTTTGAAGTTTTGAGCCTGTTTTCAACCGGTGCAATTTTGCACATGACCGGCGCCGGTGAGCCTAGAACCGACGCCGGTTGGGCCGATTTCTGCACAAAACAGTCCGACGTGCAAGCTTATTCTTGATGGGAAAACTTCATCTTCCTCATTGTTGATCAAATATTGCCTCCATACCTGATTATTGGGCTCGAATAGACTAAAAGATGCCATTTTTAGCCTATATAAAGCCCTTAATTCATCATACAAAGGCATTATATTCCATACTTTAATTCATAGCTTTTATATTTTGTTCTTGCTATTTTTCTTCAAGTTCTTGAGAAGGGAAGTTCATCCTCCGAAATAATTGGTGTTTAGGTATTATTTCCTTTGTAATTTCATGTTCCATTACATTTCAATATTGTATTGTGATTAATATGAGCATTAGAGGCTAATTTTTTAGCTAAGGCTAGGGATGAACCTATATGCCCACTAGGTGTTTGATAAAAGTTCTAAACCAATAAATTGTGATTTATCCTTTATATTTTGATTGTTTATGACTATGGTGTACAACATAGAAGTATGTTAAATTAGTTTATGCTTGCAATTAACGTTGAAGTCCAAACTATGAACATTAAAGGATAAACATATATAGTACCAAGAATAGAAATATATCTGGTCTTATATGATACGGGTGTGATGTCTTGATATTCAACGGAGTTTTCGGTACATGAATGTAAGCCGTAATGGGACTTACACATAACGAAAATCACGCTCTCGCTGCCTTAACCGGAGTTGAGAATATATTAGTGACATCGTATTCATAATTATTGGGAATGAACTATTATTAAATAACTAATAAAGCATTTAGGTGAATCCCGATTGCCTTAGTAATTCTCATTCTTGTTTAAACCAATCTCAAAGAGCAAAGTTCCTGAAAAATAACACCATTTACATTCTTTGTATTCAACACTCAACTTTATAATATCAACCATTTCCCTGTGGATCGACCCGATATTTACCGGTATTTTATTACTATATCGGCACTTGTATACTTGCAAGTTTAGCCCGATTTATGTGCATAACTATCAGGAGAAGATGAAACATGTCCTTAATTTATAATTATTGTGCATAACTATGTAATAAAAGAATATAATAGACTTTGGTAGTGATACAACGAGAGAAAAATTACTATATATATGAACAAAACATAACACCTTTTTTCGATTAGAGTTACTATTGTTTTTTGATTTAGGACCTATCAACTTCCAAAAGAAAAACTTTTAACAATTTCTTCTTACGTTAAGATTAAATAAGTCTACTAATGAAATTGAAGTATTATTTATCCTACGTATAAACTTCATCTATATTGAACTCCTACTTAGGTATAATTATCTATCAATTAAGCCATGTGACTCTACTTACAGGATGGTACAACATGGCTATTGAACGGACCAGGGCAATCACTTGCATTTATCTTGGCAGATGTTGGGTTTGATGTGTGGATTTCTAACTTGAGGGGAACCACACACAGTCGTAGACATGTTACCCTTTATGCTAATAGTGATCGAGTATGTATTTCTTCAAACCTTAATTACTACTCCCTCTGTCTCGAATTGTAAGGCACTTTACGGTTTACGATATTTGACCGACGATAAAGAAAACGGATCCCTGTCTGCACTCAAATTATTTTTAGAAAAAAAGAATTACATATTCAAAAACTGCATTAAAAACTTTACAAAGTCCCAAAAACCAGAATTAAATTTGATAAAAATTTGATATATAAAGTAAGAGATTAAGAGTGATTTGTGTTGATCGAGTGAATATGAAACATGTATCTTACAAAAAGGGACCGAGGGAGTATGATATATCATTCATTCATGACCAAACAAGATCAGAAAACCTTCATTCCCTGTCACAAATAAAAAGAGAATGTTTCATTCACGTTATAATGAGAAGACTATGAATCAACCATGCTCAATTTGAAACACAATAAATTCTGATATCTTCTTATCTTATGGTTCATTCTTAAAGACCAGTCTGGAAAGAGAAGTGACTTAAAACTTCACATATTGTTTTATTTGAGCAACATGGAATGATGATTAGCAAACCAGAAAGTCTATTCATTGTGAATTGTTTATTATCCATTGGTTCGATATAGTGAAAACATTGTCTTATGGGTTTGGAAGTGCAGAAGTATTGGGACTGGACGTGGGATGATTTGGTGGAACAAGACCTGCCTACTATTGTAAAACTTGTGTTTGATACAACCGGACAAAAAGTTCATTATGTAGGCCATTCAATGGTATGATTTGTGCCGGAATATTTCAATCTTTGGACTTTTTTGAAATTATTTGAAAATTATATGCAAAGTTTCCATGTCTTTCCAATAAAGTTCATAGACACTGTGTACATCTAACCTTCTTTTTGGGACAACATGATAATAGACATTTTGTATGCGAGTGTAGCTCAATCGGTTGATAGGGAGTGCAGGTAGACCCATGTTCCGTTCTCGGGAGCTACGTTAGGAGCCAGCCTTGCTTAGTGGGAATTCAAGCAAATACCAGGCGAAGATCCCACTTTCTATCAACCGAATTATAATATAGAGTTCAATTTAACCCTCTCAACACTGTATGATCGGCTTATTCTAAAGCCTCAGAGAAGTAGTGCATCCTTTATTATAATACATATTTTTTTAGCTGATGTAGTCACACAATTTCATAATAATAATATGTAGGGGACGTTAATAGCCTTAGCATCCTTGTCGGAAGGGAAGATGGTAGACATGGTCAAGTCTGCAACCTTGTTAAGCCCAATTGCTTACTTAAGCCATATGGCCACTGCAGTTGCTTTCTTTGCTGCCAACTCTTTCATTGGTGAGGTGCGTTATAAATTTCCCTATTTCTTTAAATTTTCATATACTTAATAAAGCACATACAATAAGAAAATAATATGTACATATCTCACAATTTCAATGTGCAATGTCCATAGATCATTGGAGCCTTTGGTTTTGCTGAGTTTAATCCTAAGAAGTAAGGATTTACAACCATTAAATAAAGTTATATGATATGGTAGTGTGTCATCTTAAATGTGATTAATTAGCTAATTACATCATTCTGCATTTCTACAGTAAGTTTGTGTCTGAAATTCTGAGGGCTAAGTGCTTTCAAGCACAACCCAAGATAAACTGCAACGACTTGATGACTATATTTACGGGTATGACATTACAAGATTGTGTGTGCATGCAATGTGCTTCTGCACAGAGGCGGGGTCAAGAATATGATCTAAACAGGGGCAAAGCTTAAATGAATTATTATGTGGGGTTCAAAGTTTAATATGTAACACATTATTTTCAACTTATACATGCTCATGCAATACATACATACACACACAGGGGAAGATTCTAATGAAAATCCCCTCTTAGTGAGAACTGTTAATCTTCATCATTCATTTTTACAATCGATGGACAATAGTGACAAGGTGACATTTTTTGTAATTATTTAGCACTAATTACAAAAAAATCCCATTTGAATTTGGAGTAATTACGAATATGATCCCATGTGAATCATCACATATTATTGCAATAAATGAAAGGTTGAGATTAAAAGTTCTCATGATAAGAAGTTCTCATTTTCAGAGGATTCTCACTAGACCCCACTCCCCCCCACATATATATCGGGTAGATCGTATCAGGACGTCCTGGCGGGAACCGCCATAGGCCGATGCCATTTGAGGCCCTTCCTGATGCAACTGTTTGATGAACTTTTTTGAGCATTTTCTTCATCAAGTCTAGTTTAACCCTACCAAGTTTAAACTAAAAATTTAATTGGGAAGACAGTTAAATAAATTTATTACCAAAACTGCGGTTTATTTATATAAACAGCATAGGGTTTGTAAAGAATTTATTTAAGAGGGAATTTGAGTTTTCACCACGTTTTATTGTCCAAATTGGACTTTGCACTCCGTTTTAAAAAGTCCTTGCTTTTGCACCCCAACCCCATATGAAAAGACAAAAATGTCCCTCCATTAACAGTTTTGCTGGCCTTCAACATATTTCTGATCGAGGGGCATTTTTGCCTTTTTCATACGGGGTTGGGGTGCAAATACATTTTTTTTTAAAAACGGGGTGCAAAGTCCAATTTGGACAATAAAATGAGGTGCAAACTCAAATTCTCCCTTTATTTAACTGCCTTCTTGATTGAATTTCTAGCTGAAATTTGGTGGGTATAAACTAGACTTGATTTTGAACATGCTCAAAATATTTCATCAAAAAAATCCATCAGGAAGTTCCCCAAACGAGCTCGGACAGACGAAAAATACTTTCATCCCCCCAGCCCCTCCCTGGCTCCACCCCTGTTTGCACCCTTTCAAAAACTATAATGTATGTAAATGTGTTTTAATGTCTTGATTACAGGGAAAAACTGCTGTCTAAATTCCTCCAATTTTGAGCTCTTCTTGGAATATGAACCACAACCAACATCGACTAAGAACCTTGTGCATATGGCTCAGAGTAAGTGTTAACATTAATGTTAGTGGCAATGACTGACACAAAGTCCCATGATGAGGGCAGTCAAGCACTCATAATTTTTCTTAAAAATATTAAGGTTGTGTGTTTCATGGTAAAATGTAAAAATCTAGGCTTTTTGTGATGCTTTAAAAATATAGGGAAAGTTCTCGTAATATGAGTAAACATGTTTTCAAATTCCAAAATATGACTTATGTCTTTTCTTCTCGAAAAAGGAGTAGCATGACATTATTTACTACCATCTTGAAGACATTACAACCAACACATTTTTACTCATATTTAGTACCAAATATATAATTCCACTCTTTTGGAGTTTATGTTTTTGTTATTTATATATTTCCTACAAAAATTGTCTCATAACAGATAATTTTAGTGTACAAACTCACGTCTCACGTATAAGATGTTAAATTACTAGTACTATGTTTTTAGCATAGAAATAAGTCTTATACATTTACCCACCCAAAATATAAAAAAAGTGTGTCAGCCACATGTCATTATATTGGCACATAGAATTTCATTTTGAGCATTTTTTCCTTCGCAATGCTTCATTTTATTAGGAAAGTAACCAATCTTAACATGTACACTTGAATTTTTGAAGCTGTTCGCAGTAGAATCCTAACGAAATACGACTATGATCTGAATAATATTGAGCACTATGGACAACCTCGACCTCCCATATACAACCTCACAAACATTCCTCTTGACATCCCCATCTTTATAAGTTATGGAGGTCAAGATGCTTTATCAGACGTTAAAGATGTGGAGAATCTACTCGATTATCTGAAGTCCCATAATATTTTTAAAATGCATGTTCTGTACATCCAAGAATATGCCCATGCCGACTTTATTTTGGGGATAACAGCAAAGGACTTGGTGTACAACAAAATCGTTGGGTTCTTCACAAACTGAGATTGAGTTTTTTGGACTTTAGCTGCAAATAAGTGAAAAGGTGGTTGTGTATTTATACTGTTGGTTATCTCACTCATGATAAATATATTGTGCAATCTAAATGACAATACTTTATACTCCGATATCAGTTTTACAAGTTTGTTAATTGTTGTGCAACTCTTGACTTTTATTTGCTTTGTGTTTTCTCTTGTTCATCTTTTTCCCAGATCACTTTTATGCTAGCCAATTTACTGAATTGATAAAACTAAAAAAGTCCATTTGAAAATTTGATAAAATAAAAGCTCCAGTAAGATATTGGTAATTTTAAAAATATGTGGTATCATGTAACTATTTTTTCTAATGGTAAGATTGCCCAACATGATAATAGTTTGCTGGTATTCTAAATTACAAAAGATTTGCTTTAAGTTTCTAAGATGATTCTACATTGATAAGTTGTAATCGTTCTGCAAGCACTGGACATAATCTTTATAATCAAATTAATAATAAACATTTAGTAAAATACAAAGAGCCGACCCAAGGGCGGGAATTGATGGGTGTTGTTGAAGTCTTTCCTTTGACGGGATATTTTACCTTAAAACTACAGTGAGTGGCTAAGTGAGGAATGAGTGATTGAGAAGTGAATGAATGGATGCCCCTATCATTGAATGAGTGAAAAGGGCCTGTTTTGTTTTCCCATCCCAAAAACTTTGATCATCGCATGAGCACTCCTGCCGGATTAGTGAATGGATTAAAGCACATGTTGGGTTTGGGGCAACTAGATATATGCAATGAAAAATGGAAAAAATCTTTGCTTGAAAATAACTGACCGAAGTTATTTTATTATAAATGGAATTACAAGAGATTGAGGGACTTAAATTGAAAACTCAAAGCAAGGACGTGACACCGCACCCCAGACTTCCTTGAAATTACGATTTAAAATTTAAAGTTGATGTATTGAATTCCCTATTATCAAACATTTGTAAAACGATTAAGGATGAGATTCCAAATACTCAATTGGGCCATCTTATTAGATATAAGAGCCCAATACAATATAAAAGAAACATTCATAACCCTTCTAGACCAAATAATAAGGTTGGACATCTCAATTGTTACTTTGAGCCCAACTTGCTAAAAATAGTAAGATAATTGGAAAAGGGTGTTCTAGGCCCACTCGAGGGTAGCCTACAAGTCTTGTAGCCCAAAAATATAAATGAAAATGTCATAAATTAATGATAGGGGCGGACAAATAGGTGAAGGGATGGCTAGAGAAGAATACAAACTTCTATGGTCCACTTTTGTCATTATTGGGATGTATTATGAGAATAAGGGTTTCTCCTATAATTGTACATCATATGAATTATTGGACCATCCTACACAATTTAGATATCAATAATATGATGTAGAAAGTTGACCTTGTCTAAAGAAATTAGATTGAGTACAAAAAGACATACATTACTAAAAGATAATAACAATAGGACTCGTTCTTCCATTTTGGGAAGTATTGGTAGATATTTTGCTCCCAAAATTAATTGGACCACAATGGGGCGTCCCACACCTTCCTAGCACCTGCAAGACAAGTAAATTAATGATAATTAAAAGGGAGGGGCGGACATAATTGATTTGGTGGCTGAACATGACAAAAGAAATCAAAAGAGAGGCCCTCTCTCACCCTCATTTTTACCAACCATTAAAATTAGATACATTGAGGGAGTGGTCTAGCAGAGGTTTGAGAACATTCATACTCAATCCTTGAAGCTTTGAGGAGAGGAAGAACTCGCACACCACACAAAAAGAAGCAGGCCTAAGATCGGTTCGGTTCTTATTAAAATTCAATGGAATCTGTAACACCCCAAATACCGGTCTAGTAATTTTACGATATAAATTATATTACTTTACCGCAAAGCACTTTAATGTTAGAATAAAATGATAATAGTTAATATAAGTCAATTGATTCAATGTTACATAGAAAGTAAATTGAATTGAATACAGTTAATATACTGAATAAAGTTACCGTTAAATAAAGAACTACTCCTTAGTACTTTGTATTGAGTAATTATATATATGTGAATAGATGTGATTACTTTATTTACCCAAAAAAAAATGACAACCGGCGTTCTAGGAAATTAAAGGATAAAATGTATAATTTAAGAACATGTGGTGAATAATCCTTTTCATACTAATATAAAAGTAAAATGTAAAAAGTTAAATCAGGGCTTGAAAATAGACTACAAAATGATTTTTCTAGAAGACATTACCAGACAAATTTCATACCACACATTAATTTAGAAGAGGACAAACAAGTTAAAGGGGCAACACATTAATTATTAGGCCACCCCAAAAGCTACGTGTAGAATTGCAAACACTTCTATATATTACAAGTCCATGCAGCAACTCAGCATAAATCAAACTAAAAGAAACGTACTAAGGCATTCTCAATCCCACCGCCTAGCGTGGCCAATAGAGGGAATACTTTAAGACATTTGGCAAAGTCATGCATTAAGGGACAATAAAAGTTGCACATAAGATAAGGAATCAGCTCTACTTTCGCCATAATATATAACTACATATGTGGTATTGGGTGCTCCAAAAGTCTAAACAATACTTTCAATACCCCGTCATATGGAGAAGTTAGGCAACCGTGAAGCAATGTCTTGAGCTTGATACATCTCGGTTTAGATCGATTAAGCGGTTCGATTCAGGTCTGTACTATAATACGACATTTATTAAATGCAATTATCTTTATTATTCAAAACAAAATGATGTCAATGCTAGTATACGATATGTATTAAGTATCATTATTTTCGTTATACAAAGAAAAGATATTAGTTAGTACTATAATACGATATTTATTAAGTGTTATTACGTATTAACTTTGTTATTAAAATAAAAGATGTGTGTATTATAAGTACGTAACGTATAGTGTGTTAGGAGATTTCTTTAAAGTGAATGTTTACGTGGTGATATCCATATACTATCGTATATGATAATGTGAATATATGATAAATGGGTATAAGAATACAAGTAAACATGTGTATCTTAGTTTCATATACATGTGTTATTAAATGGTTTTATTTAGAAATGAATGTTATATAAGATTCACACTTATATACGTATTAACTAATTAAACATTATCAGTGTTTCATTGCTACTTCTAAATTGTAGTATTACGTTTACATATGTTCAAGTAACAGAAAGTCGTTGATATAGATATGTACAACTATTTTGTATAACCCTCTAAATATGGGTGAAAAGTCTATTTGGTTACGAATGTATGTTTACGAATATGTACCAGGACTATTTTTACCTTATTTGAATAATATGTGCTAGAACTTGTAATATTTTTATGTAAAAGTTTTATTCTAGGATTTAGAATACTAGTCTTTGGGTACCACAGTTTTACAATTTTGGTCTCAAGATTACTTAAACTCCGGTTCGGGTAGTCTTGTTTCCCACGTTTTTGGGTCGCTAGTTGGTTACACTGACTACGACTCCACACTGAGTTCGTGTTGTTTCGACAATTCGTTCTCCACGGTATGCTAGCATATGACCCCAGGCCAGGGTCCACGAAAGTACAGTTATATGATAAGCTATTTTATTTGTACCCTTAGCTAGAGTCTAGTCCTTGGAGTAAAGGCTGAAATGGAAGGTTAAATGAATACGTTGAAAAATAGATTATAGTTTTTTTTAAGGAATTAAGAAGATGATTTCCTCATTGGATATATGATTTCTATTATACAACTATTTATATGTGGAATTATTTTTCCACCACGTTATAAGTACATGAAAAAGCTAAAAAGTATTTTGAATTAAGATGAGATCGAGGTAAAGTTAATATGAAAGTTGTTGTTTAACTTTGATAAATCTTTGTTATTTATTTATCTATACAAATCTCTTAAATTGAAGTGATAAATACATGTTCTTTTATTTCCTTACTACATGTTATATTATAGTACCACTCAGCAATTCAATTGTTGAGCGTGTAGTTTTTCTACACGTAGGTAAATACGAGAATCAAGCTGGAGCCCTGTTGCCGTTGTAGATACGCGTATTTATGCGTATTTAGGTAAAATTGCCGTTGCCGTTGCCCTACACGTAGGTAAAAATTGCATGAAGAGACATCTGGAGAGGATTGCAATGCATGTGTTTTGTTTTATTTTCATGTTCTGAAGTTTGTACAACCAACGTCTTAAAAATAAGGATATTATTTCAGTAAAGATAAATGTATTATTTCACAAGTGATTTTTCATTAAAATGATTACAATTACATTTTTCATTAAATGTTTTCCAATTTATATGGAAAATTTCACTAAATGATAAACGACAGTGACATCTGTCCTGAACCCGCCAGACCGGTCGGGGTGGGTGTTACATTTTGGTATCAGAGACCAAGGTTTTCTAAAAGCGGCTCTTAGCCTTTGGGAAATGGTTTTCACTACATGAGTTGCATTGCATACCAGATGTATCCACCCAGCGGCACCATTTTATTATTAGGTTAAAAAAGTATATATGTCTTTAACATTCAAGTAAATTCCGAGGATTGTTTTTTTTAGTACTCTAGAAATTGGGTTCCGTTTTCTACGATATAAAGTTAATTCAGCATAAGTAGTCCCTACATATAATAGATTAATAACCCTTAATGTCTATAAAAAAATGCCGAACATGACTCGATCAAGTCTCAAGCTAGATAAAACATGAGACTGATGAAAGTATGAAACCAAACTTTCTTATATATAAAATTAAAGTACAAGTGCACTAAAGCTATAGCCTAGACATATTATATCCTAACTCCCAAATGGATTTCCGGCATCAACGCCGGAATCCTTACCGCAACATCAATAGAAATCATTTCTGCTGTTGCTGGAATTCTCCCCATTTCAGCACAGGTTGCCGCGATCAGTATCAGTTCTCTCATCCCGTAGGATGTTCTGAAAGCAGACCCAAGGACACTGGAGCAGTAGCAAGGAGTTGCTTCAACCAATATCACAATCCAAATTTGTACTATGAATCGTGCCCAGATTTCAAGCCGGATTGGTACTACCATGATTTGTATCCAATCCATCATCCCTTCGAAGAAAGCAAGCAGTATCAGCACCAGGAACGAACAACTGCTCCCACCAGGCTAAACGCAGAGGACCCAGAAAGCTCTTGGAGCATTGTACGCCACAAACGATGGCGTCCCAGTGGCCGTTCCAATCAAGAACCTATTCTCACCCAGCGATCTACGAAGCACTACCGTGACAATGCCAAGCCAGAAGGTAAGGCTAATCGTTTTTTCTTCATAGACATGGAGGTTTATCCTCCTAGCTCTTCCCGACAATCACAGGAGTTAAAAGTTGAAAGGCAAAACCAGCACAATCGTTTGTATTACTCTCATGGTTCCAGAGGTAAACAAACCTACATCAATAAAGACCAACGTACAGGGAACGCAATAGGTGGGGCCGGCCGAATCCGGAATGGAAATCAATTTCGACCTGGAAATCTCATCAATCCAGAGGCCGGACAAGAAAATCGAGGAAACCCGTCGGCGGCTCTGCAGAAATCACTTGCTACGGGAATCGCTACCGAAAATCCGTCAGTTTCTCCGTCAATATCCACGCCGGGAACCGGAAACTTGGCCGGAAGGAGAGGCGAGACATCACTGTCTCCATCACAGGTACCACAGTTGCAGAAGGTTAGCGGACGACAGTCTGGAAATTTGAAAGTAAACGAAGCTCCCAAACTCCTCACATGGGCTGACTTGCTAAGGACAAAAAAGGACCAATCAACGCCCTCAAATCAAATTTCTGGCGGCCCAGCTGAATCCTTTCCAAATGACACATTAGTCAGCTACGAACCCCCCACCACGGCTGTGATAGATCCAACCGAGGTCATAGATCAATTCAATTTTTTTGGCGAAGAAGGTTTTGATTCACTTAAAATTGAATCAAAAACTTTTAAATTTGCAGTAAAAAATAATGAAATTAACATTTTTGAAATAAAAAAATCCTTTATGCATAGGATTACTTTTAATTTTGCAGCTGCACGCCAAATCATTCGGTTTTTGACACAGCTCACCAGTATTGATCTTTTTAAAAACAGGCAAAAAACAAATTTGGATCTATCACGGTCTCTTCAGAATTGTATAGATCTGGTTGCTACGTGAAATTGACCAAGGAAAAGAGGAGCTCCATACTCATTCCCACGGGCCAAACAAATTCCAGCTTAGTCAATTTCCTGACAATATTTTCTAATTTTGTGGGTCTACTTAATTTAGCACAGGAGGACCCGACGCTTAAAGTTCCCACAAACACGCCAGACTCTGAGGAGGTCACATCTATATCCAAAAGAATCTTTAATGCACAGATCACAGCAGTCGAACACACGTTTCAACAGCCTCTTCCTCCTAAAAATCACACCAAGCATTTGCTGCTTCAAGCCTACTCAGATGCGTCAGACAGCTTTGATCATTCTGATGACTCATATTTTTCAGATGACTTCCTCGGACACGCAACAGAAAGCGACAGACGACTACCCATCTCCAGCCGCGAAGACATACGAGATTCTAGCTTCAACAGAGAGATTTGCTATAAATCCCAATTTGTCACTCTAGACACATGCTTGCCAACAGATAATCTAAATACGCAACTCAAAATCTATAGAAAAACTCAGAAGAACAAAAGGCGTCATAGTATGACGACTAGATCACAGTCCAAAAACTTTCCATGGGCATAGTTCGTACTGTCATTTTTCTTTCAATTTCTTTTTTCTTGTCTTTCATGTCTTTCTGCATATTGTACTCTTTCCTTCATTCAATAAATAAAAGATTTTCTTTTCAAAAAAAAAAAAAAAAAAAAAAAAAAAAAAAAAAAAAAAAAAAAAAAAATACTCCGTGATGTAAATGTATGCTAGATGTACTACGATTAACAATCTAAAATGAGAGCCAGGTACATATATGATCTGACTAAACTGGACAAACTTAGTTTGTATATTAAAACGAGGAGTCTGACGTTGTAACTTGTAAGAGTAGCCAGTAGGATACTCAAAGATGTAATGCAAAAAGAAGAAGAAGAAAAAAGGAATGTGTTAATTTTATCTCTGCTAGAATAATCAAGTAATACGGAGTATATTTAAAAGAAATTAAATAAGAACTAGTGTATATAAGAATTCTCATGTATTATAATACGAGTATACGACTATTTGATTTTGAAAAGAACGAACATGAGAAAACGAAGAAGATAACTAGATACAATAGAGAACTTAGTGTTAAAGTATTAAATAGACATGGACATGTTTTTGACATTAAAAGTATGTACACTAAAATCAAATATTGAAAGTAAATTAATGTAGCAAACGAAGTCATTTTCAGATTTAAAAAAATATAATATGTAGCAAAACATAGGAATTTAAGTATTTCTTTCCGGATATATAAATGGATAGACATAAAATAACAAGGGAGTATAGTAGGTACGTATTAACCTTATTATTAACTCTAATAGAACAATATGAACCTAACTTCTAAATGCCAATGAATTAATATGACATTTGGAGAGCATGCATACACTATGGTGACACTACGCCATGAATCAATATATATATATATATATATATATAAAAGAGGAACTTTTTAAGAGCATACAATGCGCCACATAAGCTTGTCATGTCATTATATATAACAATTAATTAATTATTTTTAACTTTTTATTGTTATATTACATGTTGATATGGAAATCCACCTTATTTGGTATGTTAATAAGTCTTCGGATACATAGGTATCTAACTTAGATTAGAACTAAGCTATAAGTTGGATACATACGTAACACAAATATTTAAAATACTTCCTAAAACCATGCAATACAAATAATAAAATCCTATGTTTATTTTAAACAAAAATAATTTTTTTATTTGTACTTTGATCGTTACAAAAAATATATTAAATTTCATAATTTTTTATTATCTTTCATGTGACACCAGTATTGAATATATAAAAATAAAGATAAAAATTAACACTTTAAAAAAATCTGTATTTTAAAGTGCTATATCTGTTTTATTTGTACTCTGATTGTTACAAAAAAAATATAAAATTATAACTTTTTATAATCAATCAGTATACACACACACACACACACACACACAAAAGAGAAACTTTTTAAGAGCATACAATGTGCTACATAACCTTGTCATGTCATCATATATAACAATTATTTAATTATTTTTAACTTTTTATTGTTATATTACATGTTGATATGGAAATCCATCTTATTTGGTAACGTTAGCAACATCCAAACCTACGTAAAGATGCAAGCTTTATTTTAAATTTTAAATTTCAGCATTTGGAAACATAAAACCTACGTATAGATGTATGCTATACTTTACCAATTTTGATTTAAATATTTATGACAAAGGAAACTTTACATGTTGATGACAGTAGTAAAGGAATCAAATTTTAGTAGGTCTCCAAATTCAGAACTTCTCAACAGTAAAATCACGTTCATGTAGGCTTCTTGATGTTTCTCAAATAAGAATTTATAAACATAAAAATTCGTGACGCAACTGTATGCTATTACACTTTACATATTGATCATCATAGAATTGAACATTTACTATTATAAAAAAAGAGATAATGTTTAGAATTGAACATTATTCAGTTTTATAAATTTTAGTAATTGATCGAGTTTCTCCTTCGTTTGGAGAGTTCCCTTGTTTAGAGTTCATATATCAAGAATGTCATCACAATAAATTTCTACATTATTTTACTGATATATTATCAAAAACTATGTACATTAGTACATATCATACTTTCCCATTAACATGTTTATGATGCCTGATATTATGCATTATACTTGATTGATTAAAATTAAATAAATTGCAGAAATTATTTTCTAATACGTCAACTTGACACATCAAAGTCCGACTGGACAATTAAAGTTCGTGTTACCCGCCTCTCTGAAGGCATCCAAACTGAAAAACTAAATATACAAAAATAGATCAAAAAAGTATTAGTAATAGTTGATTTTCTATGAAAAGTACAAAATAACTATACAGCTTATGCGAGAATACAAACGGAGGGATTAGTTAATAAGATACAAAAAAAATATTATGAATACACACAATGAATCAACAATAACCATTTACCGTGCTCTACATGGATAAAGAATTCCATTCCCTAGAAATGTACTATGGTACCGTGCTCTACATGGATGGATCAAGCATTTGACTTGAAAATGAATGACGGAATACATTTGGATTCCGTGGCATCTTCAAATTTCTATTTTTTATTAGTTTAGACAACTCGGATTTGTCCAAATTAGAAAAGAGTTTAAATTTAAAAAACTGCACTTTTAAACTCTTTCAAATTTAAATTTAGCTATATTACGTACTGCCCGTGCATCGCACGGGCTTGAAAACTAGTAGACTAATAAGACAAAAAAAATGGGGCACTTGTACAAGGTCCATTACGAAAGAACAAAACAATAATACATATATAGGTTGCGTATGTGGCCAAATTGGACAAAGTTTGGCTTATATGCGGAAACACGGAGGTAATATATGTAATATGTTAATGTAAGTATACGGTTACCATTAATATGTATCTCGTTTTAAAATATTATTTTGTATTCTGATCTTTAAGCATCCACACAGGTAAAAGTTTATTAACGAATAAATATCTGATTTTGATTTAGTTGTAACAATTATATACATAGTTTATAAAAGCGATTCTCTTTCAGTATATTTTGAGAAAGATTTTTAAGTAAGAAATATACCGTAATTTAGTAAATAGCATCATGGTCCTTACTTGTGTAATTGAAAAAAAAATAGTACAATCGTATTAAAAATGGTTTTCTTGTGTCATTGAAGCATTACTTAAGAATATATATGGAGTACGATATATTTTGAAAAGTTTTCTTTTAATTTGAAGTGTAATTACATAGGGCAAATATTTCTCATTTCTTTTAAACTCATTGAAGGACATTTTATAATATAATGGACAAAGGCTGTACGCAGCACCTTAATTAAACGACTCCGTATATCAATGCATGTATAGTAATGGATTCTTCTTTGATGCATAACTGAAAAAAAAGTATATGACGTATAAATAAAATAAAATAAAATAAAATGACGGTGGCAATTAACTGGCAATAATACTATAGACAAATTCGAACGCTAAGTGAGTGATTCTTGTTTCAGACAAATTCGAATTCATGAACAAGTAGGCAGTCTTTTTACACTAATAATAGAACGAGTAAATACCAACTACAATTGACAATTAAAGGCCTCTCAATGGATTTCGGGATCAAGTAATTTTATCATAGCGGTATTAATGTTTAAAATACAAGGTGAGTTATATTGAATTTCCTTATAGGTTTAAGGTTAGGTATATATGCTTTACTTAAATTTCGAGGACGAAATTTTTATTTAGGGGGAGATAATTGTAACACCCCAAATACCGGTCTAGTAATTTTACGATATAAATTATATTACTTTACCGCAAAGCACTTTAATGTTAGAATAAAATGATAATAGTTAATATAAGTCAATTGATTCAATGTTACATAGAAAGTAAATTGAATTGAATACAGTTAATATAATGAATAAAGTTACCGTTAAATAAAGAACTACTCCTTAGTACTTTGTATTGAGTAAATATATATATGTGAATAGATGTGATTACTTTATTTACCCAAAAAAAATGACAACCGGCGTTCTAGGAAATTAAAGGATAAAATGTATAATTTAAGAACATGTGGTGAATAATAGGAGTGGGCACGGTTGGTTAACCGCATTTTTGGTTAACCAACTTATGGTTAACCGGGATATCGGTTAGCCGTACCGTAACATCAATAACCGTACCGTAATGACGGTTAACCGGGTAACTTTTACCGTAATATAGTTTAACCGGTAATTGGTTAACCAAAAACCATTTTAGAAAAACTATTTTCAGTCTGCATCTTCCTTGCCCTGTTCATTCGCGAGGCATATATCATAGTCCGAAGGATTCCTCCATTTCTAATTTCCTCCAACCTCTCCTATGATGCCTATTGAGTGCTGATTGCAAGTTTGCAACACCCATGTATTCGAAGAAAGTCTTAGGATGGGCTATTGATAGACGTTGTCCCCCATGGCTTGGAGCTCCGACCCTTATTTTCTGGCGGCCATGGCCTCGACGAAGATCGTCGCCAAGCCGCCTTTGTCTTTTAGGACAGAGTTTTTTCCTCCCAAAATGAACTGATTGTTAAAGTCAATAATACCTAATCTGAAACATGTGGAATTAGGGCTGGACTGAACCGGGCCGGTTCGGGCCTCGGGCCTGGGCCCGGCCGGGCCTCGGTTCAGAATATTGAGGCCCGAGCCCGAACCGGGGGTGGCCGGTTCCGGGCCGGTTCCGGGCCAGACCGGGCCGGTTCCGGGCCGGGCCACCCGCCCTATTTTTTTTCTTCTTTTTTTTGGCTTCTTTATTTAATCCCCTACCCCTCTTTCTCAACCCCAAACCACCCCAAACCACCTCAAATGGACCAAAATACCTAATCTAACCCAAAACATAAAAAAATTTAAAAAAAAAAAAAAAAAAATTATTTCCGGCCCGGACCGGGCCCGAACCGGCCGGGCCGGTTCACCATATGGGAGGCCCGGGCCCGGAACCGGGAACCACCGGGCCGGTTCAACCCGAACCGCCGGTGGACCGGGCCACCGGGCCGGGCCGGTTGCTACAGTGGCCGGGCCGGGCCGGTTCCGGGTCGGGCCGCCCGGCCCGAGTCCAGGCCTATGTGGAATATGTGGTTTGCATTTCATGTGCTCGTTTGCCTTGGCTAGTATTTGATCGCAGCTTTCCACTCTCAATGGTTTGGGAGTAATTGGCTAAAGTTGAGAAATGAGTTAATGGAAAGATGAGTTAATTTTAGTATTGGCAGGAGCTCTCAATTTTTTTTATTAAAATTGAGTTGATTTTAATATTGAGTTAAAAGTTAATTGTAGTATTGACGGATAAGTTAATCGACACATAATTAATTTGGCAGGAGCTCTCAATTTTAAAAATTTAAAATTGACAGGAGTTAAAATTGAGAAGAGCTCTCAATTTTAGTTAAAATTGAGTTAATTTTAGTATTGACAGATTAATTAGTTAATTTTAGTGTTGACAGATGAGTTAATTGACATGAGTTAAAATTGATAGGAGCTCACCATTTTAGTATTTGGCTAAAATTGACAGATGATTTAATTTGCAAACCGTAAGTATAAGTTTGGGAGTAATACTTAACTTTGAATTATCGGTTAACCGGCGGTATTTAATTTCAAAACCGTAACCGTATCATAACCGTTTTTTATATCGGATGGTTAACCGTACCACATGATTTTAAAAATACGGTACGGTTAACCGATAAAAACACCGGTTTTTCGGTTATTTACCACGGGTAAACGGTTATGGTTTTTCTTGCCCACCCCTAGTG